CAGAATACTCCAGCACCAAACAAAAATAAGTTGGTTTTTTTTCGTTTTTTTTTTTTTTTTTTAATTAAGATATTATTTGGTTGAATTCTGGCGGTTTTTATGTATACGGCGTTTACGATACAGTTTGGCATAGCAGGCGTGTGTTGCAGAACTGTATCACAAAGCGCCGTGAATTAGTGCGCCTTGACCGTTGTTTTACTGATTGCCTATGTATTTTCTCTCTCTCTCTCTCTCTCTCTCTCTCTCTCTCTCACACACACACACACACACACACACACACACACACACACACACACACACTATTTATGTATTGCTCAATAAAATCTACAGGTTAAATAAAGAATTAAACGAATTTAAAATACAAAAAGAGTCCAGTGATTAACGTCATAATAATTCTATTCGAAATATAACTAAAACCAAACGGTTCATAGAATTAGAAGTAGACCAATCCTAAGGCTTTTGTTTGATGTCATAGTGGATTGTCAGAAATGTTAAACTCTCTGATATGCGAGGGAACAGCGTTGCGTATCAATTACTGCTCTAATTATTTCTGACTTATGGGATTGTGTGGTACGAGAGGAATTGATCTGGAGGAGATCGTACAGACGAATTGATCCTTAAAGCATCGCTACGTCTATTGATTGCATTATATCTAATCACATCCGGAAACCAGCGTGTATGTTTTGAATAATTAGGAAAGAATAATTTTTTGAATCGCTGGTAGACCCGAAAAAAGAAAGAAGAAAATATTCATATTTAAAAGAAAATATGTAAACTAATCTTAAATTCGTATAGTCAAAAATAGGGTTAGTGTTATGTTATACACATATTTTTCAATTATTTTATTTACTGTACTTAAAAAAATCATTTAAATTTTTCAGGGTTATCAGAATATCATTACATTTCTGTAACACAGTAACGAATTGGTTAATAAATTCAGTTGTTAACTTATAAAGTTTTTAATTGTCGTAAAATTACTTTCTTTAAATAAAATATACGATAAACAATGTATTATATAAAATATAAAAACGGCAGCACTTTCTTAAAATCTTACAAAAACATGAGTGGCATTGTTTGCACTATTTTTCTAATTATAATTAAAAATAAATGTATATTTTGGGACAGAATTCAATACACACACGTGTCTCATTTGTAGTCATTCTCGTTCGAATGCAAATTGTAAGACGATGTTCGCAATTGAACAATCCGCTTGTCTATGTAAAGCTGGGTGAATTTCCTTTTGATTTTCTCCCAACTTTATATCAAGTATGTGCCTCCGGCGTCAATTAGTGTTCTTAGCTATAACATGATCATTTCTAACGATTGACTTGGTACCAATTCTCTTGATTTTAATGTGAATTTAGTAAATTGTAAGGTTATTGTTTATATTTTGATCAGGCATGAGAAAAAATAAGTTACATTTTGTCAAAATATTTGTTTTATTTCTTTCAATTGATGATTATTGATCATTTCTGCTTACCTAGTTTTGCTGTTTTGGACCTGCCAGGTTATAAGAAAGGTGACCAATACGAACCCAAAACTTACCTGAAATATCAAAACATTGAGGGTATACAGACCAAAATGATCTGTTACGAAAAATTTACAAATGCATTACCCTGCAGTCGACGTAGGGAAATTTCATAATATATTACTTTAGTCTTTTCAAAATCTGTTTAAAAACACACGCGTTTTTTTAATAAATTTTCCAAATATTATAAAGATAAAGTGAATATTCACAATTTATCCATTTTTTGGGGGAAAATTGGCCTCTTTACTTGCCTCAACTTCCGTAGGAATTAATTTCATCCCTCGAGTCCCGCCCTGCTAATCGTTGATTAAATCCGTGAGCCGGACTATTGCTCAGAAGTGGTATCAATTTGTCTCATTTAGGTCTCGCCCTCCAGATCCACTTTTTCGCCCCAACTGGTGCTGCACTTGTTCACATTTGAATCAAAAGGCAATTACCTCTTCCGGATGTCGCACAACAAACAATTCAAAAAGTGATTAAGCCCCTAACGCCGGATTGTATTCACGCCTACCTTTTTCCCTTTAGCTCATCGGTTTCTTATTACATCGTGGCGATTCGAATCTCACTCGAAGCCGTGTTACGACGGTTATATTAGTTTTTCTAAATATCATTTGTTTTTCAATCTCAGTGAACATTCAATATATATTCATAAATAACATAAATGTGATACGAAGGACAACGAATTTTTCTAAAAATTGTAGACATATATGTGATATAGATGTGGTCTGAAATATAATTTCACATCCCGCTTTCTTCAAATCAAGAATAGTTTCAACAAATTTTTAAATGGTGATCTTCACCAAAATTTCAGCGTAGAAATTGAAAGCGTAATAAATTCTGTAATATTGGTACATGGTATTTTCTGAAATTACCGTCTATTTTATATGACATCATATTTCTCTCTTGTATTTATGAAGTTAAATTATTTCTAAAAAATAACACAAAACTCGAGAATTGGTTGAAAATTAACGAAGTTTCGTTTGTTTAAAGTTTACACAGGTTGTCGTATCCAGACTCTTGTAGACCTCGTTATCGATTGGGTTCGATACCCCCCGTGGCCACTGGCATTTTTTGAACCGTACACAACGATATAACGTGTCGTAACATAAATGAAATTTTTTAAAAAAATATTACTCAACTTTTCACATAGTAGCTGCTGAAACTATTTTGCAAACAAATCGTTGCTGAGGGTTGTGTCTGAGGGAACATTGGTTTGACGTTTTGACCAGCAGCAATGATTCATTCTTTTAATTTTTGTACTGATTTCGACAAAATGTTCGAATACACTTCATTTTTCAGACATTCCTAGGAGAAATAGTCGTAGTGAATACGCAAAAAGATTTGTCCAATACAATGAATGCGGTTTGACTTATTTATTCGGAAAGAGTGAGAGGGGAAAGAGAGAGAGAGAGAGAGAGAGAGAGAGAGAGAGAGAATAATTGATGAAGATTTCATTTTACCTGGAAAAATGAGGACTCTTGGACCGATCTGAGAGAGTATGAGAGTAAATTAGAAAAAGAGAGAAAGAGTGAATTGATTTGAATTGAAAGTTTTATTTACAAAATTTCGCAAGATTAGATATCGTTTATCTTTCCTATAATAACATGTGCTAGAAAAAGAGAGAGAGCGATAATAAAAAGCAATAATTGCAGAACAAATGCTTAGTAAGACAATTAATTTGGTCAGTTGAGATATAATTACATCAAACTGAAAAGTGGAAATAATAATAGAATAAAGATGGTAGAACAATAAGAACGAAATAGAGAGAAAGAGAGAGAGAATGCAATAATAAACAGCAATAATTACAGAAACATGCTTAGGAAGACAATTAATTTGGCCAGTTTTGATATAATTACATCAAACTGAAAAGGGAAAATAATAAGAAGAAAAATGGCAAAAAGGAAAAAAAAATCAAAAGATGCTGTTGAGATCGGAAGTTAGTGGCCGAGTGGATCGAAGTCACGATAGCTCAAGTGGTAGAGCAGCAGCGTATCTAGCCGTAAGTCGTGGGTTCGAATCCCGCTCGTGACACTGACTTTTTTATCTCAACTAAAAACCTTAATTAATTGAAATATATTAATTGCTCTAGCGGATAAGAATAAAGATGGTAGAATAATAAGAATAAATAGATAGAAAGAGAGAGAGAGAGAGAGAGAGAGAGAGAGAGAGAGAATAAATAGCAATAATTTCAAAACAAATGCTTAGTAAGACATTTAAGTTGGTCAATTCAGATATAATTACATCAAACTTAAAAGAGCAAATAATAATAAGAATAAATATGGTAGAATAATAAGAATAAATAGAGAGAAAGAGCGAGAGAGATAAATGGATGGATAATGATAGACAGCAAAAGAGAGAGAAAGAGAGAGAGAGAGAGAGCAAAAAAGAAGAGAGAGTGCAGTGTAGAGCAAGAATTTGGGTACGATTTTTTTTTATCGGGCTGATCTGAAGAAATATATAGCAAAAGAGATAATTTTGGACTAAGTTTCCTTTCGCACATTTCATTACATACAAGTAACATTTTGAATTTTGATACTTTCAAATAAAGAAAAAGAGATATGGGAATAGTGATTGAGAGAATAAGATACGGTTATTTTGTTTAGCAGGCTCGAATCTGGGTAGCATTATGAAGTTTGATACGGTCAAAACAAAAAGAAAATGAAGTACCTATATTGAAAACGGCAGAGAGATTAAAGCATTTTAAAAGCTTTCCTTTGTTCATTTCACGTCTTTCCATATCCTTGAAAAGGGAATAATCGATTCGACGGGAGTCGAGAGGAAAGTGAAATTGGGGGTGGCGACCCGAATTGCCAAAGTCACTCTTCATTTCCCTCGTCTACACATGTAACCGTTTCGTTAAAAGGAGAAAATCCACCCTCAGCCCCCCCCCCGGCTCTCCCAAGGGTGCCATTAGTCAAACGGTGAAAAATGGGGCCGCTCTTTCATTAACAGCTGGGAATTTGTCTGAACCGGTACACTTTTCATGAAATACGGCTTGCCGCATATGGACCTTGTACCAATTAGGGTCATCGGGGTGAAAAGCGACGACCCCGCATTGCAGGTGTGTGACCTAGCTGGAATCAACGGCATAAGTTTCTTTTTATTAGAATTACTCGAAAAGCTCTTAATTTTTCCCTATGTCCTCCTAATCATTTTTGATAATTGTTTCTACAGACTATGGATGTGGTATTTACTGGGTGGGTAAAATTTAAACCAAATTGGGTCTGATGGAGGCGATAATGTTTGAGTTGAAACGGGACCAGCAGGACCGAATCGGATTGGCGAACGAGTCGGTCACAGGTGAGGTCTTTTGGACGACCTCGTTCCGCCGTGATCAAAGTATGCTTAGAAACATAAATCGTCTTCTAGTTTACCCTAGTTGAAAGGGTTTAAGCACTGCAACTTCAACGGCAATTAATTCACCCAGAACCTACCGTTTAAACTGGACTTTGTTTTTGCTTGTTTTTTCCAGTGGAACTGCGGCCATGGGTCGTCGCCTGCCTGATGGTCGTCGTCGTGGCCGGCATCGGCCTAGGACTCGCACTGTTTTTGACGAAAGGTGACACGCAGGAAGAAGAACACCTTGAAATGCTAGACACTGTAAGGAGGATTCTCACCGAAGTGCCTCTCATTGACGGGTATGACTTTTTAAAAATAAAATTCTCCCCTTATATCCCTAAATTAACTTTTTCACCCTCACTTAACATAAAGTTTAAAAAGTATTTATTATTTATAATTGGCTGACATGATAATGCTTTTTTCTCATCCAGATCTCACTAAGCCGCCTTAATAACAATAAAAAAAAATTCCTTTTTGAAAACAACATCATCAATAACATAAATGACCGGCCGGCGACCCCTCACTGTTTATTGATCACGGGCTTCCGTCCGAATGAGACCAATGGGGATTTCTTTTTAAAAACATGTGAACATATACACTTTTCCCATGGAACGGATTGAAAGGAACTTTTTTTGTTCGGGTGTGTGAGTGTGTGCGGAGGAATCATAAAAAAAAGCAACAGGCAGTTTATCTTTCAATAGGAGGCAGTGAGAGGTTAAAAATTAACGATGGAACGCCATACATCGCTCCCCGCAAAAAAGGAAAATTACTAACTACAGCCCTTCCGACAATCGTTTTTTCTTCTTTTCATAACAAAATTATGCTTCGAACCCGTTCTCGACATTGTTTTTTAAACCTTAATAGCTTGATGAATTTTCTAACCAGAGCAAAATTTAATACGTATAAAACATTTGTTTATATGTTCATCCTTCTTTCTACAAATTCTGACGTATTTATTATCCTATTGTCTTCCTTCATAAGGTATGATTTGCCCACTTAAGAATAATATTAATTCCAATTAATTATTCTTTTTATCTAAGGTCCTAGTTGAGATAAAAAAGTCACTGTCATGAGTGAGATTCGAACCTACGATCTTCGGCTTGATACGCCGCTGCTCTACCACTTGAGCTATCGTGACTTCGATCCTCACGGACACCAACTCTCCATCTCAACCTACAACCGTTCGAATTTTCTCTCTTTTTGCCATTTTCAAATGTCGTGGTTCCTCTTTTTAATCTCAACCAAGACTTTACATAAAAAGAATATTTAATTGAACAAAGTTGGTCAAAAGTAATTAATTGAACTTGATCAATTCACCACTAAAGCATAAGTGAAGAAATATTTTTGTTGCTTTGTCGTTTTCCGTCAAATTTTCTCTGCCTATAATCGCTGCTTTGATCAATCAGAAGTTTCGGCTTCTCACCCTCATCAACAAGAATTGAGTTTTCTGGTAACTGAAGTGTTTGTTCATAATCGTTGTGAAATATTCCAAACCTGGAATTTTGGGCTTTTTCAAATCCATTTTTTAATCACGTTGAATATGTTGTTTTCGTATATTTATAAACTTTTAAGTGTGACCAGTTTTTCTACTTTTTGTATTTTGGTTTGAATTTTCGTCTCTGTCCCCAAATTATTTCAAACATTTTTTTTTAATTTGTTTTATATTTGTGCCCATTGAATTTTTCTACAATTCCAATTGTGTTTTCTTGCCCTTAGTGCAATTTGCGTAATTTATTGAATATATTTGTATCTTTTCTTAACCTCTGTTCAACAAGTTTCTCGACCTCTTTTCTTTTTGTTTGTTTGCTTGTTGATTGTGTCAATGGTGTTCCTCCTGTTTTGTTTTTTGTTTTGTGTTTTTCGGGCCAAATATATTGCACTGTATTTATATTTTATCTTTATCATTAATGTTTAACCTTTCCACTAGGAGTGAAAATGTTCTATGTTAATTGTACATTATTACTATCGCTTTTTCTGTCAAATTCAACTTTTTAAATTACAAATTAACCTTTTTTTCTTTTTTAAAATTTCAAATTAGCTCTTATTGACTTCAAATTAACTGTTTTAATTTCAATTTAAGCTTTTCTTAAATTCCGAGTTAACTCTCTATAACTTCATATTAACCTTTTTAACATCAACTTAATTTTTTTCAATTTCGTGTTATGCACTTCTTCATATTAACATGTTTTTTTCCGAAATCATTTCAACTTTAAATTTACTCTCTTTAATCTCAAATTAACCTTTTTTAATTTAAAATTAACACTTTTTAACTTCAAATAACTTATAAAAACAAGAGACGTAATGAAATGTAAACATGTAATATAAAATTCCTGCATTTCTAAAAAAAAAAATAAAACATAAAATAATGTAACTCTTCATAAGAAAATTCAAAGTAAAATTAGAAATGATATCAAATTAAATACATAAAAACAATCTTTTTTTATTTAGGCTGTTAAAAGAAAATTAATTAATTTTAAAAATTAAATCAAATTTAATTTAACAGAAGATCGTATTAAAGTGAAAATTAGAAATTATATAAAATTCAATGTACAAATAATTTTCTCTTTATTTAATTTAAGAATTGTTTAAATGAAAATAATTAACTTTTTAGACGACCATATTAATTAAAATTAAAAATAAAATTAATGTACAATTAAATATAAAAAAAATGTCTTTTCTTAATGTGATATCTATTTAAATATAAAATAATTTGTTTCTTCAAAAACCTTGATTCTCACTTTTCTCAAATTAAAACAAAAATCTTTTATTTTTATGGTTTATGTTTGGTGTGTGGTGTTTAGTGACCATTAATTAATGATTATTTTGAAATCGTGAGATGCGTTTTTAAAAACATTTTCTTTATCGTGCCCACGTTTCGATATTTATTGAGATCATCTTCAGGGCGTGGGATTTATTAACATTGTTTACATTTTACAGATGCATGTAGGACGTACAACATCGCTGTTTCCTGTGGGATTCAGGGCTAATTAGCTATTTAAAATACAAAATTAATTATTAAAATAAAGATTTTATGATGATTAAAAATGATGTAATTAAAACATTGAAAAAATTCAGAAAATATAAAATAATGTAAAATTTAAAACACAACGTTGTTACAAAATTATAAAAAAACAATATTATAATTAAAAATGTTATTAAAATAAAAGAAAGGAAAATAATATAATTCACGAATACTCTAGATCAATGTATTCTCTTGATGACAAAAAGCAAATTCACCTGTTCCTGCCAAGTTTTAGACCTATTTTAAAGTCATCATCAGGCCGTATACTAATTTCACATTACGGAAAACATATTTGTTCAATTGATTTATCAATAATTTTTCATAATGTGAAATTATTACAGGCCCTGATGTTGACCTTAAAAGTAGGTCAAAAGCTTGGCAGAAACAACAGATTTGCTTTTTTGTTCAAGACAACACTTTGATCCAGAGCGTTCGTGAGTGAAAAGGTGATCGATACTTCTAACATTGAAAAACAAAATATTTCTAAAATTAGTACTAATTTGCTCTTACAATGAAGGATAAACACAGACTAATAACTAAAACTGCTATTAATTAATAACATGCAATCAATTTTTGTTCATAAAATACAATTGCGGTAATACAGTATTTACAATGTTTTGGCTTTCTGTAACATTTTTGACCTGCAACTTTGAACTTGAGCTTTCATGCTTCCCAGATTTGTTAGTGAAATCTGAAGAGCCAGAACTATCAGCATTATAGGTCAAACTATTTTTTTCATTACCCGTTATCAAAGTGTAAGAGAAGATCCAATATCCATAACATTTTGAACTAAAGTCAAAGAGACGGATTTTGAGAGGTAAAATAAATTATATAAAATGAATTTATTTATCTTCTGACAAACACAAAGAGTTTATTAAAATGATTGGTCGGTCAATTTCACAATTGTGCCACTTTTCCTGTTAAATTCTCACAGGAATGCTATAAATCTCTCCCCAGAACGAAGATAGGTTACTTTAGCGTGAATGTAGCCACCTGCAGTTGTGTCATTTTTTTCTATAGTTCCCCCAGCACAGAAAAAAAATTTGACTTGTGTTACTTTCCTTATGGTTGTTGCGATGAGTTCATACCCTTATATGCTTCAGATATCGAAGTGTAAACTTACTACTGGGCTATAACGCTTTTTTTTAAGTCTGAGGGTAGGCCACACCTTTCTCTGGGAGACGGTAATTCCTCTGTTTTCTGTACTCTCTTGGGGAAGTGATATAAGTTAGCCTTGTCTGACCTATCAGCAGGCCCATCAATACAATATTTTTACCCACGATCCCCCAAATTCATAGGAAGCTATTTACCGATTCTTTGAATTAGAAAATCAAGAATATATTTCAGAAAATGTGACGGAAAAAATGTGGAAATAGAATTTTTTTTAAGGTTAACCTCCATATTCAAGGCTGTAATATTTTAATTAGAAAAACAATTGAAAACTATGTTCAATTAATAATGCAAATGTGTGGTGATTAGTGACCGTTAATCCATATTTATTTAGAAATCGTGAGATGCGGTCTGGTGTGATGTAGGTTTCAGAAAAACATTTTCGTTATGGCGCCAACGTTTCGATCTTTATTGAGATCATCTTCAGAGCCTGGGATTTACAAACATTGATTACATATAGCAATTACTAATTCACTACTTTCGTGGTCCGCTTGACCAATTAATAGATGACAATTAATTAAGGTTTTTAGTTGAGATGAAAAAAAGCTAATGGCACAGAGGGATTCGAACCCACGACCTTCGGCTACATACGCCGCTGCTCTACTACTTGAGCTATCGTGACCTAGATCGACTCGGACATCAACTCCCCATCTCAACCCCACCTCAACTAAACCTCATCTCAACAATTACATTTTGGATGTGGAAAAGTGAATTTATACAATGCAAAATATATTTTTTATATATCCAATCAAAGTATTTCTACTCACTCAAAGTGTTTGTCTTCTTTGTAATTGTGCCATTCTTGCGTGTCGAGCGTGCCAGTGAGATTTTGCTATTTTGTGTTTATATACGTTGGATTTTGAAGGGGAGGAGAAGGAAGTCGGTATAGAAAAAAGACATTTTTGTATAAGGCGTCGGCTTCTTTGAGGTGAAAAGAGCTGACGAAGGGAAAAAATGTGTTGGTAATGATTCGGCCAGATTATCCTTTCAGGATTATATAGAAAGGGATAAATAGGAAAAGGAAAGCTAAACTGTTGGGAAATTAGACTATGTGAAAAATATTTGATGTGTGGAATGTAATGCGATGATATAGGTATGTTATCTGTA